TCTATCAAACTACTAAGCTAGTTTCCATCGACTAAGACGCTAAGTTGCCTATCATTTCTATTAAATAGGTATGAAACATTTCATGTATTAACTTAGCAACTAAAGACATTCTTACTCTTAATATCAATTTACTATATATATATGATAAAACAAGGAGTATTAGCTACCCTATTTATCAACCTATTCTAAGGCTACAAAATTATAGTGATCTACATAATAATACAATGAACCCACTGTAAAAATTTCATGGCTAAATCTATTACCAATTTGCCACAAAAATTCCTACAAATATTAAGCTAAATAATGCTAAGCTTCCCTAAATAAATTAATGAATCTATCAATATCATAGATAATTATAAACCTAATACACCAACAGATAGATTATATTTTTGTGAACCTAACAAATTTTGTTTCACTATTTTTGACACCTACAACATTTACTATAATTTTCCAAAGATTAGCTCACAATTTAAATTAGAAAAGCATCTACTAATTCCTGGAAAAAGAAAAAACCTAATTCAACCTGTGGGTCTATTAACTCATGGCGCGGCCCATGCCTCGCTAGCATGCAAGTGCGCCCACTCCACCGCGCGATTCCATGCGCGGGCTCAATCAAGATTTAACAACGGCCCACGATGGGGAGGCTCATGCTACCTTAATAATAATTATTTAAAACATCCTCGAAGCTATCGGCGATTCACCCTCGAGGTCTATAGTACTATTCGCATGCATCATTTATTACAAATATACCCTCCCCTTTTTTTCTTTACAACACCAGTCCCTCGGGCATCACAGGCAGAGATGATCGGCATGCAGCGATTTACGGCACTAGGCGGTGACGCCGGGCCATCCTAGCCTCCTCGCCGATAGTGAGCCGATGCTCACCTAGATGCAAACATGAAGTGCATGGTGAAGCGTGAATGGAGACGCTGGTCTAGAGCTTTCTCCATGGCGGCGAACTCCCTCTGGGCGTGCTGCCATGTCCCTATGAGCCAAGGCACAAACGACATGAACGTAATCCAAGGAATGGGCATCAAGAAATCACCCGTAACCCACCATGTGGTGGCTTGGCCGAGATGCATCGGCAAGGTCCGGCCACGCGACACGGCAAGCACAAAGAATGACCACGGTAGCGCGGGCCGCATGAGTGGTGCCGGGCGTGCGAAAGAGACTACAAATGGGTGCGACGGGGTGGCGGGACTACGAGGCGAGGCCGAGTGCAACCAATTGGGCTCGTGGAGGACCAGCGGTAATGCCCACATTACAATGGGCGTTTAAGCCTTTAATGGCGCGATGATGACGCCGCCCAAATTGCGTTTGCCAAGGCACAATTTGACACGATGCGGGTCGGGCTATTAGCAAGTTAGAAGACAGAGTTGGGAGCACCTAAATTGATCTGGATATGACCTATCCATGCCAATTGGTGGCGCGACCGCCGGATCGGGAGCAGAGGGGAGGAGGGAAAGAAAAGAATGGGGCCGGGTCTTGTCCAAGTCTCGGCGGGACGTATCGACGACACGCGTAAGCACCGCGAGCCAACGCAGCCAGAGAGGGGTATACCTGCTGGCGAGCGGTAATACGCAGTTAGCATTGTGGTCGTGGGCGCCTATTGATGGCAACGATAGCGGTGTGGCCTCAAAGAAGGCCACGGTACGACACCGGACGACAACGACGCAGATGCGCGGACGTGACACAACGGTGTGGTACGGCGATGATAGCACGGGGCGTAGTACCGGTGATTTCGGACGATGGTGGCGCAGCTGGCGCCGTGGACGCAATGCAAATACAAAGCAAATGCCGCTGACTTTGGCGAGGGCAAAGCGCAGTGGCATCGTGCCCACCGAAAGCGTGGCGGGCGTGGGCGGGAGGTGCGTGTTTCGCTTGCAACACGTGACCAAGCGTGGTAGCGACGATGCCACTACACCGAAAGCAGTATGGCGATGGTTTTCAGCGAGAAAGCAGAGCCGCAGAACAGAGCGATCGCGGGTGGTCCTAAGGCACCAAGAAGGACGGCTACCGGGCAAACAAGACCTCGAATAAAGGAGAGGAGCAACCAGACGCCAGCAGCTACCACCGTGATCTACCGGCGTGTATTAAACACGTCATGCTGCTCGGTTTACACGCCTATTAAACGGCATAAGAGCACTGGTGACCGCCACAACGCCGAGGAACTCGCCCATAATGTGCCAATGCGCTTTTAAAGCATCCCAAAAATTCAATTCTATGATTCAATTGACAAACCACCTATGCTATACTTAAGAGGGCATGCTAGGCTACCAAAACAAGACCAAATACCCCATCACTCCTTAATCCGATTCTTCTACAAAATCACCAAACCTAGCTTTATCAAACCACTTTTGAGTTGAATTTTACAGCCTATTCACCCCTCTAGGTGTACCACAGAGATCCTACACGCCAAAGTTTCTTGGCCTCGCTATGTTGACCATCTTTGACCTGCACCTTGAACTGCGGTTTTGTAGAAGGGCCGGAGTTCCAAGCGATCTCGTGGTCGGAACTTCCAACTCTGGGATCCGAACGGTTGAATTTGCCTATGAGTATAAATAACTATCTCCTCTCCTCTAACCATAGACCAAGCCATTCATCGCTCTCCAACCTTCACCAAAACAGCCTCCCAAGCATTCAAGGCACCCTCTCCTCTCCCTTTGCTCCAATATTTGATTCCCGTAAGATTTTGAGTGAAAGGAGAGTGGATTGAGTGAGAGAATCACTTTGGCAAGCTTGAGCACTTGATTTCTCCATCAAGCCGCTGGATTTATTGCTATTACTCTTGGGTTCTTGAAACCCCAAGCTGCCCAGGCGCCGCCCAAAAGCTTCATCTTGTGGAAGAGCCTTGGGAAGTTTGTACTACCCTTGATTTCTTAGTGAAAAGCTCAAGTAACCTTTGTGATTGCTTTGAGAGAGGCAAGGAGGTGAAAGAGACTTGACCTTGTGGTTACTCTCAACAACAAGGACGAGGAGCTCCTTTTGGGGTTGCCGAATCTCTGGGATAAATTCTTATGTCCCTGCATGGTGGCTTGTTGTTGTTGTAATTTGTGCTATCATATTTGTTCTTGTTGGTTTGTCTTCTCCCCCCAACTCTCCTCCTCTAGGTTTAGACTCGACTCCACTAAGTGGTGACCTTCCCATGCCAAATAAGCAACCCCAACACTTCACCTTACCACTAGGGAGGGGTTGTAAGATATCTTCACCAAAGTTCGCTTTTAACACTTGTAGTGTAATTCAGAGAAACGAACTCCCATTGCTTATGCTGAACTCCTAAAAGCGAAGTTTCGCCCTAAACTGCTTCAGACTTCGGATCACAAACGACATTTGACTTGAGACCACGCAAATTTTTAGATACGCCTATTCCACCCCCTCTAGGCATTGTTTAGATCCTTTCACCTCATCGTAGTACTTCTACTTCTTACCTTGAGTAAATGTCTAATAGAGAGAAATAGTTATATTAATTTCTCTTGCCAAGGTGCTATACCCAATTTGTGATTTGGTGTCGTGGATAAATATTGTCGAATGGATGGAGTATGTAACCCTTCTCTCAAAGGTTTTCAGGATTCATATATACCATTATAATTTTTGGCCCCTACCGGGTTCAATTCTTAACAAAATCGAATGTAAAAACACTCGCTCGCTGAATTAATTGTCAGAGAAACACTGTCTTACTAAAAACGCTTCTAATGTGCTTCTAATATGGGTGTGTCTAACGAGGCCTTTGAAGTTGGGAGAACATATTATTATTCGCCTTGTTTGAAGATACTATTATAGTTTTTGCTTTCCACAAGAATGCCATATAATACGATGAGACGACTTTTGGGCCTTAGCTGGTGCATATACGACAAACGTGATATTTCATCAAGAGTTCTTCTTTCCCATGTCATCGACGCTGGCCCCACGTGTCATCATTTTCTTCTTCTTCCTCTCATCTTCCCTTGCTATAAAAGATCCCATGGCGTAGCCGGGTGAGCCACCAACAGGACGGTACACACATTCCGACACACGGGTGAGAGCAGATGCACAAAGATGATCGGTTCAGGCCACAGCTCCATCCCATCACGAGCCTGCCAACCGCCACGCAGCCACAGCTTTTTATGGCCAATGGTTCATACACATGCGCCCCCACCGGCCACCACTCGCCTGCAGAGTGGTCAGGCCTGCTCACATCGACGGCATGGCAGATGTCACAGTGGGTGGGAAGATGAGAGGAGGAAGGAAGATGATGACATGGGGGGCCTCGTGGTGTCGCTGATGGAGGGGAGGACGCCGACACACCTGCAGCTAGGCCCAAGTCATCTCCATACGTATCTTTTGGTATTCTTGTGAAAACGAAAATTATAATTATATACGTTCAAAATAGGCTTAATCCAGGACGGTGTTTCTCTAAACTTTGAAAATTATAATGGTATAAGAATAAAAAACTCCTCTCAAAGCATGCACATATACTGCTTCTCAAATAAAAAACAAAAAGAGCATCCATATTTATATCTCTAAATATATTTACTGTAAAAATATATTCACTATTAATTTAATAATAATTATTTTGTATCATAATATTGATATTTCTATATAACAACAAAACTGTGATGAGGGAGTATCTCAACTAGTGCAGTACATTGAAGAATTTATACAAAACAAAAAATAAAAAGGAGCAAAAAATCCATGGACTCTTTTTTTTTATTATTGAAGTGGCTCTCTTTTGAGAGGCAGAATCCAAGTGGCTCTGGACTGGAAAGAAATGGAACCATCTAGAGTTCTTTTTGAAGCAGCAGCACTCCTCAAAAGCGATCCAAGCAGTTTGACAAGTTTGCCCCTGTCGCCCCTCAGTCTCTCCCCGTCCACCGCTTCGTCTTCTTATACCCTCCTGCTGACGCTGCCCCGGGTGCATCCTTCTCCCCATCGGCGGTCTTCTTCCCCGTCGCGTCTAAACCTAATCCCCAAACTCTGACGCAGACAACACGACGCGCACCTGCGTTCGCGGAGGAGGAAGCATGAGGTACAGCCTGTTGCGATCTTTCCGTAGTTCTTGTTCTTGGATTCATGAGACGTGGTGTGCTGTTTTGGTGCTCTTCTGCTGCGGTGTGTGGACGTGATTGTGTGCGGAATAACAGGCGCCATTTTGCTCATAGGTTTCAGAGGATGCCTGTTCTAGTTTGTTGGGTAAAATTGACTATATTACGGATGCGCCTGAGAAATTTGTTATTACTGACTCTGTTTAGCGTGGTCGCTAGGAAATTCGAAACTATCAATCTTCTGATTGATGTAGCCATGCTCTTGACGCTTTCCGTAATCCTACATCTAGCGCTTATGTTTGTGCTTAATACTGCTTCCTTAATCGGGGTGAAATATGAGATGATTGCGTCAAACGGCCAGTAACCTGCAAGTTGCTGGTGTTGCGAGATTCGAATATTCTGTGGTAGCATCTCTTGGTTATGCAGTACCTGCTTAGAGGATGAGATATATATGTTGACTTTTGAGTATGGTTTTGAGGAATTTCATGGGTCCGATTTTGCTTTGCAGTCGCCACCCAGTCACTAAGTGGGCACAGAGGTCCGACAGGGTGTTCTTGACGATAGAGCTGCCCGACGCCAAGGATGTGAAGCTGAACTTGAAGCCTGAAGGCCATTTCAACTTCTCGGCCAAGGGCTCAGATGACTTGCCCTATGAGTTTGACCTTAAGCTGTTTGATGCTGTGAATGTGGAGGTTGGTTTACTATTTAACACATGCTTTCTCTTGTGGATGTATTTTTTCAGGTTCTAATTTATCGGTCTTGCTGTTTGCAGGAGAGCAAAGCAGTTGTTGCCCCAAGGACCATATGCTATCTGATCAAGAAAATGAGCGCAAGTGGTGGCTAAGGCTGCTGAAAAGGAGGGCAAGCCACCTGTGTTCTTGAAGGTTG